CAACCAGACCTCGGAAGCCGGAGAAGCCACAGAGAGACTCCTGCCAGCGCTGAGTTGCTTACATTGCCACTGGACCCAAAGACTTACTACCCACTGGCTTGTGATCGTCCTGCATTTGGCTTCATTGCATGTGTTTCGTGAGTCTGAAGAGGACTTTATGGGTTGGTATCAGACATAGGGGCTAATATCAGACTTATGGCCTTGGACTGGACTGGGTTGGGATGTTTTCTCAATGTTCAATTCCTCTTGTATATAAACCTTTTCTTTATACACATATGTGTCTATGAATTTGTTTCTCTAGCCTACCCAGACTAACACAGACTTGTTAAGCCTGAGATCCTTGGCCTCACACCCAACAGTTTCTGATTCAGCAGAGTTGACACATTGCTGCTGTGTGACAGTGAGGAGGTTCCGACCCTTCATGACTCCATGGGACAGAGTAGAGCTACCCCACCAGCTTCCCTTGGCTGTAATCTTTATGGAAGCAGACCACCAGGTCTTTTCTTCTGCAGAGTGCATGGTGGGTTTGAAATGCCAGCCTTTGAATTAACAACTGAACACTTAACGCTTAGGCTATCAAGGCCCCTGCAGACGAGCATTAAAGCCTGAGATTTTGCATTTATCACAACTTCCCAGTCCTAACAACCCACAAGTCAAGGCAATATGTTGACTGTTCACTGTCTGATTTACTGTGTCATCTCATCTACACCTGAAGTCTTTGAGAATCAAACCAGACCAAACTAAATAACAACAAACATCTATCCCATCCATTCTGTCTTCTTTTTGCTACATTAGCCTGCTCTTTTTTGCAGACGTTTGAACCTTGGATGTGCTTCAGTAAGCCCCGTTACTGAAGCATAGGCTCCATCTGGGGAAGAAGATCGAGAGCAAGGTCAAGGTCAAGGGAGAGGCACGCACCACTTCAAAAGCATCTGCCTGGACGTTGAAGTTGGGGTTGTTCTTGTAGCTCTGGATCACACAGGACTTGACTCCCCGCCCCCCACACTCAATGAGAACCTGGGGCCGGTCCACGGAGAGGAGCTGCACCTTCTTCATCTCTCGGACGCCCCAGAAGAGCACCTGAGGAGAGGACCAGCAGAGCTGTCACTTGAAGACCAAAGGAGAGTCAGCATGTGTGTCCCGACCCAGGGATGAAAGTCAGGCATGCCCCTAGGGACAGCCAGGTGTTCCTCCAATGAGTGGGGGCTCCACAGAGATCCCATTAGGTCACGGGTGAGCTACATGGTGTTTAGCTCTTGGTCTCCTGTCCCTTGTTCAATGCCTCTCACCCTGTGCAGGCCAGCCCACTGCCCCTTAATCCTCAAAAACAACTTGACAATCCACTGCCCCATACCTCCACTCGGTATTTACTCAGCACAGGCCGAATGTTGGCAGGAACAGGGTAGATCTGGGCCACATCTGGTGGGTCCACGGGAGGGAGTCCTTGCAGGCCAGATGGGGGGACCTGCCACAGAAAGCAGGGCCGGTTAGATGGTTGGCGAGGAAGTGAGCAGGGCCGAGAACCCATGATTATCTAATCAGTAAGACGGTCCCTGCTTCCTGAAGCAAAGGAAGGTTTCCAGCGGGAAATGCAACAAGGACCATGCCTGTGACCGCATCTCATTACGCATTAATGGATCAATGCATTCATTCGTGAGGAAAGTTTACAGTTATTAAACATGTATGCACCAGGGGAGCCCTGGTAGTGCAATGGTTTAAACATTGGTCTGCTGAAGGAAGATGAGGCAATTTGCTGTTCGACTCTGTCCTATGGGGTCACTATGAGTTGGAATCCACTCAATGGCGGTGGGTCTGGTCAGTGGGTTATGCACCAAGGGGTTAATAAGATGTAGCTTCCAGTGAACTCACAGCATATAAGGTGGCAGGGGGAGGGAGCGTGTGGCTAAACCTTCAAAACGTGGCAAGATTAGCAGGTCGGAACGGCAGCAATGGGAGGGCTGATACTGAACCTTTGAGCCTTGACTACTCTTCTGCTTCCAGCTTGTCAAGATTCCCAGAAAAGCCATTGCATCTGCTGCAAAAAGAGATTCCCGTTTCATCACAGCAGAGATTACCTCTGCATCAGAGGGACAGAAAATGAAGTCTTTTGAAGGGAGAACTCTAAGATGAAACAGTATCACTTCTTGTGCCTTTTGGATCAATAAAACTGCAGGAGGCTAATGACGGTGCTTTGGCTTTACTGAAATCTCACACAAAGGACTCACTTTCATTTCAGTCATCTTGGTTGACCTTCAGCCATCTCAAGAGATAGCATATGGTTAAGAACTGAGGGTACCGAAGGAACAAATCCAAGCGGCACTGGAGATATTAGGGGGAAATGAGGCACTAGGAAGTGACAGAAGAGCATTCTTCAATACTTCAATAGACTGAGAAAGCACTGGAAATCTAGCCAAGAAATTTTGAAGACAGCGACCTGGCCAACCAACTGGAAGAAATTCATAGTTGTACCCATTCCAAAGAAAGGTGACCCAAGAGAATGCAGACATTGCCAAACAATATCACTAATATCACAGGCAAGCCATCACACGCAGCAGAACCTTGATAGGGAGCTGCTGGATTCCGAACAGGATGTGGAACAAGGGATATCATTGCTGACCTCAGATGGATTGTGGCTCAAAGCAAGGAATACCAGGGGAAATGTTTACTTGTGTTTTATTGATTATGAAAAGGCATCCAACTGGGTAGAAGATCATAACACACTATGGGTAGCCTTGAGAAGAGGGGGAGTCCCACAGCTACATTATGCTCATGGAGAACCTGTGCATGGATCAAAAGGCAGTTGTCCAAACAGAACAAGGAAATACTGCATCATTTAAAATCAGGAAAGTGTGGGTCAGGGTTGTATCCTCTCACCATATGTATTCTATCTATAATCTGAGCAAATAATCAGAGAAGTTGAACAACATGAAGAAAAATGAGGCATCAGGATTGAAGGAAGGCATATTAGCAACCTCTGATATGCAGGTGAAATAATCTTGCTTACTGAAAGGGCTTAAGCACCTGCTGATGAAGATCGAAGATTTCAGCCTTAAATATGGATTCCAACTTAATGTAAAGAAAACCAAAATCCTCATAATGGTTCCAGTAGGTAACACCATGATAAACAGAGAAACGAGTGACATTGTCCAGGATTTCATCTTGCTTGGATCCACAATCAATTCCCACGGAAGCAACAGCCAAGAAGTCAAACAACACATTGTGTTGAGTAAATCTGCTGACCTTGAGTACATCTACATGATTTCTTTTAAAGTGTTGGACATCAAGGACGGTATATTGAGGACTAAGGTGCACCTGAGACCCAAGCCACGGTATTTTCAATCATCTTACTTGCCTGTGAGAGTTGGACATTGAATAAGGAAGACTGAAGAAGAATTGATGCATGTGAATCGTGGTGCTGGCAAAGAATATTGAAGGTATCATGGACTTCCAAAAGAACAACAACAACAAAAACCGTCTTGTAAAAAGTATGGCCAAAATCTCCTTAGAGGGGGGGAGTTGTCTCTCAATGTAAGAACACTTTGTTCTATTAAACTGGCATTTCATAATGGTCACTTTCCCAACACGCTCGCTGAAGTCAAATGGGTGCATAAGCAAATGTGGTGAAGAAAGCTGATGGTGCCTGAGAATGAACACCATATTCGATATTGGCTTGGGGCACCCTTCTCTCTGGGGTTATCTGTCTGCCTAAACAATTTACACAGACTTGGCCAAGGGGATGGCTCTGCTGACTTCATTTTCATTCTTGAAGCCCCTGGAGCCATGGCCCAGAGACAGTGGGCTCCTGATGAACGAGGGCTGCCTGCCTGCCACATTCGCTCCATCTGCTCCATCTGGCCTAATTGCTCATCAGAACCTGCCAAGTGCAAGCACATGCCCCCTCTCATTCACAGACATGGTCTAGTTGACAAGGGCAGATGTGGTGGAGCCAATGATCAGGAAGCTTAGAATAGAACGAGGGCAGACAGGGCCAATGCCAAGGGGGATGCAGAGCCTCAAGTTGCAGAATGAAGCAGGCCAGGTGTGAGCAGGGTGCACACCCAATTGCAGCCAAACCAGAGAATCCAACCTCACGGTCACTCCAGACCCAGAGCAAGCCAATGGACAGGGTTGAACGGCTCCCGCTTCCTGTTTCCAAGGTTCTAAATCGTTCCAGGAACAGAAAGCCTACTCTTTCTCCTGGTGGGTTAGAACCACTGGCCTGGTGGTTAGCAACCTAATGTATAAGCCACTATACTACCAGGGTTCAAGAGTGAGTTATTTACTCAGCCCTCAAAAGCCAGCCTCACTGAGAAAGACATTCTTCTTCTGACCCCACAGTCGAAACCTCAACCGTTGGGACGTGGCCCAGGAGAGCCAGCCCCTGGGTGCACTTTCAGGAAAAGCACTGGGTTTCCTGGTTCCAGGGCCACAAGAGTCAACCTGGGAATTGCCCGGAAGAGCTTTGCTGACAGAGAGTGAGAGGAGCCAGAAAGAGTGCACCGCCCCCCTTAAAGGGCCCAAGATGACATATTTTTTCACAGTGGAATGGGCCACTTCTGGCCAGGCCAACCACACAGTTCCAATCACTCAAGACGGACCCCTTGCGATGAAGGCAATTCCCACTGAGAGTGACCCTCAAGGACAGAGTGGAACTGCTCCCATAGGGTTTCTGAGTCAGAAGCAGCCAGATGGCAGTGAGCGTGGGTTTGGGGAAATCTTTACCAAAACAGACGGACACATCTGTCTCGCATGGAGCATCTGGGGGATTCAAACTGCTGACCTTCTGGTTAGCAGCGGGCCTGGACTCCTTAGGCCAGCACGGGCAATGAGGTGTGTCAGAATCAGGAGTGGGCAGAGGAGAGGTGCCTCAGATGGTTTCCAAGGCTGGGATCTTTGTGGGAGGAGCCCCGGTGGTGGTTTCTGCTAAGCACTGGACTGACCACCTGAAGAATGGTGATTCAAACCCACCAGCCACTCCACAGGAGAAAGGTGAGCCTACCTGCTCCTGTAAAGAGTTACAGCCCTGGGCACCCTAAACAGGGTCGCCGTGAGTGGATGGCTGTAGGGGACCATCTTCCTGAAAGCAGAAGGCCGCATCGTTCTCCCTGGGGGCGGCTAGTAGATTCACACCACTGACCGTTTAATAGCAGCGAGTGCTTCCCCTCGGTGCCACCAGGGGTCCTCTGGGATTCCAGGAGAGACAAATCAGCAAGTCCTCAAAGGAAGGCCTGCTGCAGACTAGAGTGAAGATGGGGGATGTAGCTAGCGTGTACATTTCATGAAGGAGGCACTCATGCTTGGGATCACGCATGTTCCAGTCCCTTCTGACTGGAAAATCACTAACCCTCAAAGGCCTTCTGAGTTGACTAGTGCCCTGCCTCTTCCAAGCATGTGTTGTCCACCCTAGCCCAAGTCGATGATAGCAGCACTAAGAAACTCAAGCATCATCTTCCTGTTGCTGATGCCGTCTGGCAGCCCACTCATTCGGGCTGCTGTGATGCTTCTAGTCCAGCACAGTGGGTGGGGACCACGCCTGAGTGTGACTGTGTCCTAGCTGTGTGGACCTTGACAAGTCACTCTGTGTCTCTGAGTCTCAGTTCCGCCTTTTGCAGACTCAAGATGATGGTGTTTGCCACCTAGACAACCTAGGTGTTGTTGTTTCTCACAGAAGGAACTGTGGGCCCAGCATGCAAAGCACGGGGCACCCTTTCCAGAACACAGTGAGTTCCCCAGGAGTAAGGACGAACAGGACATGGGCCAAGATCACAGACACAGTTGGACTTGTGTTCTGGACGGTCCCTGGCTGAGATGGGCAGGATACAGTGAGCAGTGAAAGGAAGGGAGGCTACTAGACCAGCAGTTCGAAACCCAGTGGTTTCATGGGAGAAAGATGGGGTTTTCTACTCCCGTAAAGAGTTAGTCTTGGGAGAGAAAATGTTTTGATAAACGATGTACAAATGCGCTTTACACAATTGATGTGTGTATGGATTGGGATAACAGTTGTATGAGCCCCTAATAAAATGTTAAAAAAAAAAAAAAGAGTTAGTCTTGGAAACAAACAGGGCCCGTTTTACTTTGTCATAAAGGGCCACAATGAGTCAGAATCGACTTGATGGCAGTGAGTTTGGCTTGGGTACGAAGAATGAAGACTGACCCTGAATTTTCAAGCTATGGGGGTCTATGAACTGGGCTGGAGAGGCTAGGCAAGGAGGTGCCTTGGGTAGAGTGAATTCATTCCGGGTTATAGCAGAAGAGCATCCTGAGTCCTTCTCCTGAGAGAGGGGAGGATTTCAGTGATGGAGAGGCTGCAGGAGGTCATCCCAGATCAAAACTGAAAGCAGCAGATGATCAATGGAGGCATTTTCCCAGCCCGGCTTCTCAGTATGTACGAGAGCCACAGGTTACAGCAGCCACGCTGATGATCAAATTACTCTTGCAACAAGTAATCAGATGAGTGGCAGTCCT